CTCAGCTGTTAGCAGACTCATCTGATACTGATACTGCTGGCAGTGAGCAAATTCACAATCCCAGTGAAGAAGGGGATTAAAGCAATAAATCGGATAATTCAAGCAGAATTGGCATGGTTTGGAGAACAGTGGAGTCATATCTTATATGGAGTTGAGATTCTAAAGTTAAGGAAATATAACAAAAAGCACCTATGATCAAAGTAACCTGAGAATAACCCCACAAATATAATAAGCATGATTGTATGTAATCTGCCATGTTCAGATATGCTGCTTCCCAGTGAGTTCAACACCACTAGTTGTTCTTCCAGCATTGGAGCAGATCAGTGCTTTTTTAGCACTAAATGAAGTCATTTGCTTACATTTACAAGTCATGCTTTATGAAAAATAAAATGTACATCTTTTTGAATACTAGAATCATACTCATCTCAGAAAAATGTTCACACTTTCAGGAATATTCATTCTCTCTCTCTCTTTCTCTCTTTCTCCCTCCCCCCTCTTCCCCTGCCCCTCTCTCCCTTCCCTCTCTCTTCCCCCTTCCCCTCTCTTACTCCTTTCCCGCCCTTCTCTTCCCCTCCCCTCTCTTCTCCTCTCCCTCTCCCTTCCCCTTTCTCTCCCCTCCTTCTCTATGGGGGAAAGGGAGTATATAGTATATAAAATTAAATTTGATGAAGATCATACTAAGGGAAGTGGATTACTTAGATAAATACTGTTAATTCATGCTTTCAGTCAAATTCTTACTTTCTGGTTTTTTTATTTTAATTGAACTTTTCATAAAATTTCTAAGTCCCATCCTATTTCCTACTATTCAAAACTTGGAGAACCAATTCAGCTTATAGTATTAAAATAGCTATTTAGTTTTCTTGTAAAATATCAGAAAGGGGTGGATTTTATGAACAGTAGAAAGAAATATAAAATATGAATAAATTTTTAGACAGTGAAACAGATTTAAAGCTGATTTCTTCTCCCTCCACCACCTCCACCTGATGGTCTGGATTATTACCCTCTCTTTAAGTGTATTTTGCATGCGTGACAGAAAGCTCCTGCTCACTGAGTGTTCCCAACTTCTCTGCTATTAATAGCATCGTCATTCTTCTCATCCCTGAAGCTTAAACCTTAGACTCTCCTTATCTGTTTTTATGGATCTGCTCACACTATTTTTTTTTTTTTTTTTTTTTGGCATGGAATTCCTGTCCTCTTCTACAAATTGTTCTAAGCTTAGGTAAAAATGCTATCTCTTCTAGGAAACTTTCTAACACAGCCAGTTTTCTTTAGTGCTCTTCTCTAAATAACAGTACTTTATTCTACACTTAAAATAATTACTCACTTTTATAAATTGTTCCCCCAAATATGATTTTAATTTCCTTGAAGGAAAATACCACATTTTATATTTCTGAGCCACCTTGTTCTTTATCTGCTATTAAGTCTCTCTTAAACCAATTAGCAAGGCTGGGAAGATAGGTGGACTTGCTGATGGACATTTGGTGATCAGACATGTTGAGATGGGTCAGTCAGCAGGTGACAGGACTTCAGTCCTGATTCACCTGAAATCCAAAAATAATAGCATTGTCATATATAGCTCGTCCCTCTTTTTTGGCAGATGACTTCAAAGAAAAAAGGAAAGAGCTAAAATGACATATAAAAAGAAAACCAAAATGGCACATAGGGTCAGAACATTATCAACTGCTAATGTGTCAGCATACATTTCTTACAGCAAGCAGTCCCAAAAGATGAAATGCTACTTTATGTCATCATGGATGTTGAAACTGTTATTTGGGGCATAAATATTTCAGATTATTATGTCTTTCTGATTGACTCCTTTATCATTATGAAATGGCCAAATACAAACAAATTTGTCTATATATGTGTGTGTGTGTATATATTAACATATTAGTGTATGTTTGATGTAGGTACCATCTTCAAATGATATTATATCACTTCACATATCATAAGAGAACCTCACACTATTACACCTCTGTTTCTCCCCTACTAGGGGTTATGCTAGTGTGTTATGACAACAATATTTTGCATATTGTGCATATGTTATATACTCCATAATGCATTCCTTATTATATTTGTTTGAACAGTCACTTGTCATTCAATGATACTAAAGTAATAAGAGCAAATTCTTATATGTTTATCCATGTAATTACCATTTCCAGTTCTCTCCATTTCTTTGTTTAGTTCCATATTTTCATCTGATATGATTTGTCTTCTCACTAAACAATGACTTCAGCATTCAGCAGGCCCACCAAATTACTTCAGCTTTTCTATGTCTAAAAATTCTTCATTTTTGAAGGATTTTTTTTTTTTTTTACTGGATATAGCATTCTAGATTGACAGTGTTTTCTTTTAGTACATTAAAGATATTGCTCCACTGTTGCCTCGTTGCATTGTTTCTGATGAGAAATCTGCTGTAATCCTTATCTTGGTTTCTCTGTACATAATGTGGTTTTTCCTCTGGCCACTTTTCATATTTTCTGTTGATCAGGGTTTTGTTTTTTGTTTTTTTGAAATGGGAGTCTTCCATCATTGCCCAAGCTGGTCTCAAACTCTTGGGCCCAAATGATCCTCCCTCTCAGCCCCCTAAGTAGCTGGGATTACAGGCACACACCACTGCACCTGGCTATCAGGGGTTTTGAACAGTTTAACCGTAATGAGTTATGATGGTGGAGTTTTCTTCATTTTTCTTTGCTTGGGGTTCATTGAACATCTTGAATCTATAGATCAAATTGAAAATTTTCCAGCTGTCGTTTTTTCAAATTTTTTTCTGCCCTTCCTCCCCCAGTGTACATTAGGCCACTTGAAGTCTCACAGCTCGCTGGTGCTGTTCATTTTTTTGAATCGTTTTTTATCTTTGTGTTTCATTGTAATGTTTCTGTCGATGTCTTTGTAAGTTTACTTATCTCTTCTACTTCAATGTGTATTTTTGTTAATAAAACTCAATGTATTTTTTATCTTAGACATTATAGTTTTTATCTCTAGAAATTTGAATTGAGTAGTTGTCTCAAACTTTTTTGAACATATAAACTACATATAAACATATAAACTACAACTCTTTTAATGTCCTTGTCTACTAATTCTAAGATCTATGTCAGTTGTAGGTCAGTTCCCATTGATTGAATATTCTCCTCATTACAGATCCTGTCGTCTTGATTTTTTTGCATTGCCAGTACTCACTAATTGGAAGCCATACCCTATGACTTTTACCTTCTTGAATGCTGTATATTTTTGTATTCTTATAAATATTCTTGAGCTTTGTTGATTTACCTGGAAGCAGTTTTGATCCTTTTAAGTATTGCTTTTATGATTTCTTAGGCAGGTCCAGAGTAGTATTCATTGTAGAGCTAATTATTCCTCGGTACCTTCCTTCTCTACCCTATGGCCTGTGAATTATGAGGTTTTCTGGTCTGCGTGGTGGGGACAGACACTGTTCCTGGCACCGGTTAAGTGCTGGACAATAGTACCAGTAATCCTTTTCAATGTTTCTTGCCCCAGCTTTCCTCACATGCATGCACTCTTCAGTACCCTGCTGAAGTTTCAAGGAGGACCAACTGCAGATCTCTGATATGCACTCTCTCTCTTGCTCTTTCTTTCTCCTTTAGTACTCTGTTATGCAAACTTTAGCCACCTTCATGTCCCTGGACTATCATCTTCATCTCCTCAACACAGGAAGTCCTCCAGGTCTACCTGGATTCCCCCACTCTGCACCACAGCATAGAAACACTCCATGAAGTCAGCTAAGGTGATAGCAGGGCTCACCTAATTTGTTTTCTGTGTCTCAGGGGTCACTGTCTTTCATAGCCTTATGTTTAGCATCTTGAAGACTACTGTTTCATATGTTTTATCTTTTTTTTTTGGAGGGGGGCATTTGTAGTCCCTGTTTCAATATTAACATATCCAATTAAGGTTATGGCTGATGTAGGACCTTCATATCAATAGCAGTGGGCCGAATCTCAAATAACTACATATTTGGAAAAATAAGATTTTTCTTTCACAGCAAACACTAATAAGTAGATCAGTCTATGTGTTAATGGAACAGTCTAGTTCAGTTTAGTAGGTTCACTTGATACTTAATTCACTGCTGTCACGGAGGGTGATTTTCACTAATGAACTCTACAAAACCCAAGGTGAAAAAATCAAAACATAACATTTATTCCAGAACAACGTAATTGTGATCTAATGGATAATAATAAATTTTAAATTAGTGATCCTGCTCTCCAGCCTTTTCTTACCTCGCCAATCTTATCCTTAGCCCTGTCTTATTTCTTTCTTTCTTTCTCTAAATATTAAGTTAAACATCACTTTTTCCAAAAAGCTTTCCCTGACCCTCTGAAATAAGTAGATCCCCCAAACTGAGTGTCCCTGAAGCACTCTGTACTTACCATGTTGTAACATTCTTTACACTTTATAGAATTTGTCTATCTTTCCTCCTGGGCTCTCAGTTTCTGGTTCACTGCTGTGGCCCCAGCATCATGTATAGTGTGTGATGCCTAGTAGGTCCTCTATTTAATTTTTGTTGACTGTGTAAATATAAAAAAATTTCATGAATTTCAGATATATCATATGTTACTAGCTTTTGCTTGTATATTAATGATAGTATTGAACAAAGCGAAATCTAAGGAATATGATTATTTTATGATTTTTCTAAACTATGTTTTAAATGTCAGTAGTTAAAGCTAAAAAGTACATTAATTATTATACTTTTGATCTATCAGATTAAAATGTATGTGTGGCTTTTTTTTTTTCAGGACGCAGAAGAATATACAGATTTGCCAGTAAGACACAATGAAGATCACATGAATAGTGAACTGGCAAAATGTCTTCCCATGGAACCAAATCCTCATTCCTTTGACAGCCCGCACACCAAAGCACATCTCCTGCTGCAGGCACATCTCAGCCGAGCCATGCTGCCCTGCCCAGATTATGACACTGATACCAAAACGGTCTTGGACCAAGCTCTCAGAGTATGTCAGGTATGAAAGTCATTTCTAATATCTACCTACATATTCTGCCTTCATTTCTGTTCTTTTTTCCTGTTTTAGGATAAAATATTCTTGCATTTAACAATTTATTGTAGCATTGTTGAGAAATACCTTGTGAATGAAATCAAGAATTTCCAAAGGAAAAGCAAATATAAATGCAGTAAGATGATAGTTTCAGTCTCCCGTTCAACCAAAATTTTTTGAAGGCAAACTATTATATGTGCCAAATACTTTTCTAAGCACTGAGCATATAGTAATGAGCAAGACAGAAAAGTCCCTGCTATTGTGGACTTTCACTTAAGATGGGGAAGACTGACAATTAAAAATATAGGTGAAGTGGTAATAACTGCTATTTTTTAAAAGTAATAGAGCACAGTGAAGGAAATAAAGAGAAAGATGGAGGGTACTGTTTTATACTTTTCTTTATATGGTACTCAGGGACTATCTCACTGATGAAGTGACATTTTAAAAACAGTTAAAGAAGAGAGAGAGCCATAGAGTTTCTGGAGGGGTGTATTCCAAACACTAAGAAAAGTAAGTGCCAACCCTCTTACATAGGCACTTATTTGGTATATTCAAGGGATATCAAAGAGGCTATTGTAAAAGACATGGAAAGATAGGATTAGATATGAGATCATAGAGATGGGAGTAGAGACCGTAGAGAAAGTGGGTCAGATCATGTCGGGAATTTGTAAAGCACGGTAAGAATTTTGGATTTTCCTCTGTGAGGGAAGCCACTAGAACATTGTTTCACTAGTGGTTATATTAGTTATATCTATCAGTATTTTTATATTAATTAAAACTGAAATTCTCAAATTCTTATTACTTCATTTAAAGATAAC